ATTAACACATATATGCCCAAACACAGCAATTAAGCATAGCAACAATTAAGTATAGTAGGACCATGGCTGGACCATGACAAAGACAAATCAATGGGTCCTACTGCAAATTACTATATCACTGAATACCAAAGTCAAGATCATCCATGACATAGTATTTCTGATTTGTATGCTTTGTACATACAGTTGTGAAAGCTGGACAGTGAAGAAATCTGACAGGAGAAAGATCAACTTATTTGAAATATGGTGTTGGAGGAGAATTTTTACAGTTGTCATGCACTGCCAAAAAGACAAATAAATGGTTCTGAGAGTAAATCAAGGTTGAATTCTCACTAGAAGCCAAAATGACTAAACTACAGCTGATATACTGAGCCAACATGACTCACTAGAAATTATGATAATGCTGGGTAATGTTGAAGAAAGTAGGAAAAGAGGAAGATCACATTGCAAATGGTTCGACTCAATCAAGGAAGCCCTGGCCCTGAGTTTGCAAGACGTGAGCAAAGCTGTTAAAAATAGGGTTTCTTGGAGCGCTCTCACTTTCCATATTGTCAAATCTCCATATTGTCAAATCTGATTTAATGTCACAACAACAAAATTTGAATTCTTACTAGAACTCAAAATGAGTTAAAAGAGGCTATAGTCCTTTGGACATATCCTGGATATATTCCAGTGACTCAGTGGAAAAGAATAATATTAGGAAAAGTGGAAGGTAGTAGGAAAACATTACAGATAAATTGACTGTGTAAAAAAAAAAAAAAAAAAAAAGGCCACAGCCGTGAGCTATTAAGACCAGAGCCATACTCTTAATAGCAGAAGCCCTTGGGATTCTCAGATTCATAGGGTTGGCATAAATTGAAGCTGACTTGATGGCACATAACAAGAAAGAGTGAACCCATTCAATCAATTGTTGAATAAAGAGACAAAGCATAGATAAATCCTGTTGTTTTAATAGCTCAAAGTTGGCTTGATGGTGCATAACACATTTGCATCATGAGCTCTAACCTTCAGGTCTAGTGCTTTCCAGTGATACCTGTTTTGCCAGAGAAATGGTTTTCATCCACTATAGGCAAACATTCTTGGCTTTCAGAGGCTGCCTGAGATTTCTGGGCTATTTCTGGTCTACCCATGTGTCTACCCATACCTTGTATCAACACAGCAAACCCCTCCCTTGGCTTATGGAGAAAGTGTTTGTATGACATTACCCCTCTCCTTTCGTGTGTGTGTGTGTGTGTGTGTGTGTGTGTGTGTGTTTGTGTGTAAAAGTCACTTTCTCCATCAGTTGGACAATAGGCCAGTGGGATGAAAAAGGACCTCCCTTTTCAGCATATCCTAGTGGCAGTCAGGATGCCGTGATAACATACTGACATTTCCCTGGCTTTTGTCCACCGTGATAGCATCGGCACTACTGCCACAGGGGCCCAGTATCTTGGGAAAGTCTGCCTGTCACTCACTCCACCCGAAAGGCAGCCAGTGGCCGATGGAAAAGAATGGGGATTGACAAGCCAGTGGGGAGATTAGGAGGAGAAGAATCAAACCTATTAAGGTCTGTCTGGCCAGCAACCATTGTATGCACAGATATTTCAGCTTCTCCTTCAGCTGGGTCTCAGACACACATCTAAATACACACACAAATATACACCCTTTCTATCCTGGGCAAGATGAAAACAGTGGCAAACAAGGGGTTTAAAGTCTAGAAAAATCACCTTCCAGAACTTTGAGTCTGGTTTGGAACCAGGTGGGGGGGCATGCCAGATGGATTCCTTATTTCAAGACAAGCCTGTTCACATATGCAGTGGTGATCAGTTATTCCCATGTCATGGGGGTGATGAATCCACTCTGGGTTTTAATACAAACAAGGAGCTATCCAAGGTGCTGAGCATATTTTGAGGGTCGAGTTCAGCACTCTGGAGAGGCTGAACACATGCCTGAATCAAACTGCTCACAGCTTGGAAACACTTCCTCTTGTGTGCTCACTAGATGCTATTGGTGGTGTTGGTGGCAGTGACGATGAGGATGAGGATGATTTACTGGGACTCATGGTGCCCAGTTGCAGCAGTGTGTCTGAAGTTCATTGTTAGCTGCCTTTGAGTTGATCTCAACTCATGGCAACACTGTAAATGAGACATCTCCAAGCCTTCCTATCCTCTATCTCCCTGCTCCTGCAAACTCATACCTATGACCTCCTTAATAGAGTCCATCCATCTGGCATGTGGTCTTCCTCTCTTTCTACTGTCTGCTACCTTCCCCAGCATTATTGTCTTCTTATTATGTGTATTAGCCTTTAGTTGTCTTGGGTTCCAGGGAGAGTTCTGGCTTGATCTCTTCTAGGACCCTTTTTTTGGGGGGGAGGGGTCTTTGGCTGTCCACAATATCCTCAGCACTCTTCTCCAGTATTACATCTCAGATGAGATCATTTTCTTCCTGTCTGCTTTCCTCACTGTACATCTCTTACATCTATACATGGTGATGGGGAATACAATGGCTTGGACAAGTTTAACTTTAGTGTTCAGCTGTATATTTTTACAATGTAGGGTTTTGTCTAGTTCTTTCATAGCTGCCCTTCCCATTGCCTTAATTCACTTCATTGTTTGAAGTAAATAATGGCATAAAGTTTGAGCTAGGAAAAATTGGAATTCTTCTCTAGATCATCCTACAATAGCCTGCCTACAACAGGAAGGTAAACAGCAGCTGCCTCCAGAATGCCCTAGTGAGCATTCATGGACAGCAAAACAGAAAGAAAAGGGGAAGCATCATTGTGCATTTTGGTGCTATTAGAGAATCCTAGAGTTGGAAGAGACACCCAGGGCCATCCAGTCCAGCCCCATTTTGCCATGCAGGAATACACAATCAAAGCACTTCCTATGACAGATGGCCACCTAGCCTCTTTTAAAAACCTCCAAAAAAGGAGACTCCACCACACTCCGAGGCAGTATATTATTCTACTGTTGAATAGTTCTTACTGTCAAGAAATTCTTCCTAGTGTTTAAGTGGAATCTCTTTTCGTGTAGCTTGAATTCCTTACTTCGTGTCCTAGTCTCTGGAGCAGTAGAAAATAAGCTTGCTCTATTCTCAACATGACATCCCTTCAAATATTTAAACAGGGCTATAATGTCCCTCTTAACTTTCTCTTTCTCAGGTTAAGCACACCCAGCTCCCTAAGTCAATCCTCATCCTTTCACCATTTTGGTTGCCCTCCTCTGGATTTGCTCCAGTTTGTCAATATCCCTCTTGAATTTTGGTGCCCAGAACTGGGCACAATATTCATGGTAAGGTCTGACCAAAGCAGAATAGAGTGGTACTATTATTTCCCTTGATTTAGATTCCTATTGAGGAAGCCTAGAATTACACAGGCAGATGCGCAAGAATATGAAGACATGTGTGTCCATTTGTGCATGACATTAAGTTGTGCTTTCGGTAGCACAACATTGCCATCCAGCACAAGAGTTGTATATTACAATCAATACACAACTCCAGATATGTTCCACTGTGTAATCTGGATGTAGGATCTCTCTATCTCTTTCTCTCTCTCATCTCTGGATTCATCTGTTCTCCCCACAAAACATATCTAAGCATTCCTTCAATTTCAGAGGAAGTTGCTTATGTTGGGGTTGGGGTATTTCTTTTGCTCTCCACCTCTCTGCTCTCATCCTTTCTCCACTCTGTCCATCTCTCTCTCTTTCTCTCTCTCATTCCCTCATTCTTGTGTGACGCCCAGCCCCTCTGGTTTAGAGAGCCCGATAAGTGCCCTATCAACATGTTAATCAAATTACTTAGGAGCTAAAATTGACGCTTTTCATTAATTATACAAGATTATTCTAATTGCAAATTCAAATTTATGCGCTCAGAACAGAAGGTGTTCGGCAGCGTAGCTGGAAATTTGCATATTAAATGGGGAGAGTTGTGCATTATGGATGCTAATGTATGCACATTGTCTTTATTTTTAACTCCCCGGGCCTGTGCATGCCGCCGCTGCTTAAGGAGGTGAAGGAGTCCGACGTCTGTTTATTATTATTTCTTTCTCTTGTCTCTTACTTAAAGTCAGTGGCCCCAGAGGCGAGGACAGTGGCCATGGCAGAATTGGGGGGCTGAAAGGGAGGAGTTGTTGACTCACTGTCAATCTTGCAATGTGGAGAGGTAACTTTCTCTTTCCCTGTCCCCCCTTAACTCATCTTCCCTCTCTCTCAGATATATCTACCTATTTTTTCTTCCTCCTCCTCCCTTCTACATTCCTTCCTTTCCTTGATTACCACCTGCAAGGAGAGCAGGAACTCCAGTCAACCAGGATTTTTAAGTCAGCATCTCTTGTTCCTTGAGATGGTTTCACTCCTGTGATTAACCTCCAAAGGTTTTTTCTTTCTGTCTTTAAAAAAATAATAAATGGAACAACAAGGAACATGGTGGGAAGTTCCTTTTTCCTCATCATTGTGGTCCTCGGGTTTGATCCCAAGTTTTGAAAAGAAGTGAGGGTGTCCGGTGCCACATCCATGTGAGCTTGCTGTGATACTGCAAATATTGGGACTCTGCAGTAATCATGTTGAAACTTTGGAACTCCCTTCTACAGGAGACGAGGCTAGTCTCCTCTTGATTTTCCTTTTGCTGACAGGTGACTTTTTTTTTCTTTTCCAGCAGGCTTTTAAGTGTGGTGTAGTGGTTTGAGCATTGGAGACTATCACTCTGGAGATAAGGGTTCGATTCTCTGCTCAGCCATGGAAATCTACTGGGTGACCTTGGGCAAGTCACACACTCTCAGCCCCAAAAAATCCCATGACAGATTCACCTTAGGCTCACCATAAGTCAGAAATGACTTGAAGGCCCCCAACAACAACAAACAAGCTTTTAATTATGCCCAAGGAGGCTTCTTATTGTATTTATTTTGCTATGTTTTAAAGAGTTTTCCATTTTTAACCTAGTATCTTTAAGGATTTTACATTTTTGACTTATATTAATGTAGTGTTTTTATATGTGTTTTAAAATTGTACCGATTGTCATTTCTGACTTATCACAGGATTTTCTTGGCAAGATGTGTTCTGAAGGGGGTTTGCCTTTGCCTTCCTCCGAGGCTGAGAGAGTCTGATTTGCCCAAGCTTTCTTCACTGTCCATTTGGTTCCCTTGACCAAGTGGGGATTCAAACCCTGGTTTCTAGAGTTATACTCCAACACTCAGACCATTGCACCATGCTGGCTCTTACTTATACCCCACCATTTTCTCAGATCAAAGCAATGTACAACAGATTAAAAAAAAACACAAAATACAAAAGTTTAAAAGTGATTAAACTATCAAAAAAATTAAAAGTAGTTAAAACATAAACCATTAAAAAAATCACCCAACACAACATATAGAAAAATCTAGCACATTATTAATTAAGTGGGATGGGCCTTCTATTGTTCCTCAGAGCAGGGAGGGTGCCAGTCTAACCTCTCTGCAAAGGGAGTTCCAGAGCTTGTGGGCAACCACTAAGAAGACCCCTTCTCCGGTGTTCCCACCAGATGTAAATCTGAGGATGATGGGACAGAGAGAAGGGCCTCCTCGACAGATCTCAAAATTGGGGCTTGGTAAGAGAATTCATAAGAGAGAATTTGTTGTTGTTAGCTGCCCTTGAGCTGGCCTCGACTCATAGTGACCCTGTGGATGAGACATCTCCAAGCTCCACCATCCTCTACTGCTCTGCTTAGGGTTTGTAGATTCAGGCCCATGACCTCCTTAATTGAGGGGCATTGCAGGCCGGCCTAAAGGGCCGGCCTGGGGGTGGAGTTGGGGCGGGGCAGCCGCATGCTGGCCGCCCCAACCCCACTCCGACGCCGTCATGACGCTGTGCACCCATATGCACGGCACACTGCGTCAGGATGCCCTCCTTGTGGAGCGTGTAGACACGCTGCACCAAAAGGGTGCGGAAGAGCCATGGCGTTGGTTCTTAGGGCGGCTTTTTGCTGCCCCTAAAAGAAGTGGCATTTTACTGTTCTTTTGGGAGCGGCAAAATGGAGGATCGGGGCTGCCTTGTGGGGCTGCCGCAGCCTAGAGCCTCCCGAAACAGGCCGTCTGTAGAAGCCCTGAGTCTATTTATCTCCTATGTGGTCTTCCTTTCCTTCTACATCCCTCCACCTTTCCTAGCATTATTGTTTTTTCTAGTGAGTAGTGCCTTCTCATGATGTGGCCAAAGTACAACAGCCTCAGTTTTATCATCTTGGTTTCCAAGGAGCGTTCAGGCTTAATCTGTTCAAAGACCCATTTCTTTGTCTTTTTGGCCATTCACAGTGTTCTCAGAACTCTTTTCCAGTACCACATCTCAAAGGAGTTGATTTTCTTCCTATCAGCTTTCTTCACTGGCCAGCTCTCACATCCATACATGATGATGGGGAATACAATGAATTGGACAGTTCTAACTTTTGTGCTCAGTTGTATGTCTTTACTCTTTAGGATCTTGTCTAGGTCTTTCATTGCTGCTCTTCAGTTTCCCAGACTTCTTCTGATTTCTTCACTGCACTGTCCTTTTTATCCTTTTGTCGTTGGTACTGATATCTCATCAGGACTATCAGATGTGTTGGCACTCCCATGTCTTTAAGAGCCTTCCATACCTGTTCATGATTTATGCAGTCGAAGGCTTTGTTGTAGTCTATAAAACACATGCTGATTTTCTTTTGGAATTCCTTGGTGCACTCCATTAGTCATGTTAGCAATGTGGTCCCTAGTGCCTCTTCCCTTCCTGAACCCTGCTTGGGCCTCTGGGATTTCTTTCTCCATGTATGATTGGAGTCTGTGTTGCAGAATTTTGAGCATAGTTTTGCTTGCATGGGAAATTAATGCTATGATCCTATAATTGCTGAAGTCCTTTGTGTCTCCTTTTTTTGTGGATGGGGTAATAATTTACACACAGAGAATATGGTCCTCAAATAACCTGTACTTGAACTGTATTAGCCTTGATAATTCAAAATCAGCATTTTGAATTGTGCCTGGAAATGGACTGACTGCCAGTGGAGCTGTTGCAAAAGGGTGTTGTGTGCTCCATGTAGCCAGCAGATCATTTGTACAGCAAATGACCATTGTGTTTCCAGCCAGCTGTAATGGACGCCAAGATGCACTTGAGCATGTACCAGATTCAAATGAAAATAAGGGAGACCAGTTGTTGTTGGGTTTTTTTTAAGAGTTGAACTTTTCCAAACTGCCAGCCTCCAAATGTGTAAATGATAACTCTTTATCATTCCCAGACGGCATGGCTGCCAGCTGTGCTGGCCAGTGTTATGGCATTTATAATCCCAACACATCTGCAAGGTGCAAAGCCTTGAGGAACCTGGGTTAGACTGGATTAGTGCTTTATCTAGTTGAGCCACTTGACACATTATGCACATGTGTTAGATCAGTGGTTCCTAAATTTTGGTCCTCTGGCGAGCAATCAGGAATTCTGGGAGCTGAAGTCCAAGACATCTGGAGCACCAACATGTGGGAACCATTGTGCTAGATGCTCTGTTTCAGAATACTTACTGGATCGAAAACATGCTGCTGTCTTTTTGCCAAAAACAAAACAAAACCAGTCTGTGTTCCAAAAAACTTTTGACAAGTGTCCAAGAAGCAAAAAATATAATATGACTCTAGAAGCTGGATTGTTTGTTTTTTGGCATATTGGTAGCACAAGGGATGAGGATATGAAGAATTATGGGGATATGGGAGATTATGGGGGATTAGCAACTGAGCAGGCAGGCAGGCAGGTGTGGAACCAGGGACCTTTCACACTACACTATTTTGCATTGGCATGGCTGTATCCAGTGAATCCCCTGCAATCCTGGATTTGTAGTTTAGTGAGATACTAGAGCTCTCTGGCTGAGAATTCTAAATACTCCCTTCCTAAACTCTCAGTTCCAAGAGTCAATGAAAGTTAAAGTGGAATCATACAGCTATCTATAATTGTGTGGTGTAGAAAGGCTCCAGGGCTGGGAAAACATGGTGCAAACCAACACCAGTATTCCTCTCTTGTGCTTCTGGCGTGTTCAGCTGGCGACCTCCACATCTATGAACTAGTAAATCCACTCTGGACTTTAGTCCAAAGTTCAAAGAAATTGCTAGACCTATTTTGACAGAAGGATTCAACACTTTGGATGTCTCCTTTTAAATTCTGTTTGAAATCTGGAGTGACTCCACTGCTTCACTGACTGGGAGACCACTAGCCTCC